TTCTGCTTTGCCACAATAAGAAGCAGATGCAGACCCTCTCCAACTCTCCTTATTTGTGCTTGAGTAAAGTTACCTTCAGATGAGTTCCCAGTCTGGCGCGCAGTTCCGTTGTTTGAAAAGGGAGCTCACTTGTAAGCCAGGTTTATATCACAAAAGAGCGTAATCAAATGATGATTTACAAACTCATGCGTAAGCTATTCAAACTTGCTTTTTTGTCGATTCCTTGATTGATACTGCAGTCAAATTTCTCTAAAGCGAACTTTGATGGATCAGGCCGAAAATTCGAGTTGCAGAGATTTTGAATGAGGGAAAGAAGTGTTATCCCTGGAAACGTAGTAGATGTATGTGTGTCTCCTTTAATCAAGGTTTGGTAATGATTCAACTAATAAAGTCTTTGCCAGACAAAAATAGTCTTTATTCAAATATGCAATATACACAACAGTGTAATCAGTTAACCACAAGACACAGGGGTCTATCTGATGACTTCTGATTCTTAAAGACTCCTGTACCAACTGCCTGCCTTCCTTAATCTGACCAGGGGTTTATATACTGAGGATTCAGGGGTAAAACCAGGAATGGGAAGGACACCTGTGTGCGCGTGTGCAGGTGTCTTTGTACAACTTCCATGCACCTGGGGTTACTACGCAGTTAGGGGGTTGTCATGCACTGGGGTTGCTATGTGCTTGTCGTCAGGGTACATGCACGTGTCTGTCAGTACACGTGTACTGTGATGGAAGAATATTAATTTATTATTTTTATTAATCTATTATCTCTTCCTGGTGTTATTAATAACACCAAATATATATATTTGCAGGGATACAAATATTCTTGCAATATATTGGGGAATTATATCACATAATTTCCACCAATAACAGAAGCATTTTTGTTTGGGAAAAGGAAAAAGAATTATAGGAACTTGTAATTGGTGATATTCTAGGCCTTAAATTGCTGATAAATGAGTTGACAGGATGCTGAACTTTGGGTCAAGGGTTCATTTGTCCCATTAGTCTTTCACTTCCTTCCAAAACACATAATTATAATTGTATTGTTTTTGTATATCCTGTGTCAATAAAACAATAATGATAGGCCTAAATAAAATTTTAGTTATCGCGTTTTGAGGAGGAAACTTTGAGTCAGAGGTAATTTGATTAATTTTTTGTTGAACCTTTTGATGCTGAAGGGTTCCTTTTCATTATGTGGCAGGGTTAGGATTTCTCGAATGGGAAGTATGTTTTATTTTGTCCGAAAGTCACTGAAATGCCCCTGCTGGATTGGGAAGGTCTAAGTCAGGAAAAATCCGCGTAGAGAAAATCCTATTGTCTTGAGAAATCTCAAGTGTTAATCGCATGCTTAGGAATGCAGGAAAAAATGCCACCCAGTGAGGATTTTTTCTTCAGGCAAAATTTTCTGCAGGATTGGAAAAAATATTGGGCCTTTTTCCAAACTTAGGCCTTGGTTCAAAATACGATTTTTAAAATTCTCAGTGCTCATGGACACATAATTTGGCAAAACTCCCAATTTGGGATATTTTCGCAAAATATGTTCTGGGTTCCGAATGGAAACCCTTCTTCTGGTTCGAACTACAGTAATCCGGACAGGGGATACTTTTTTTTTTTACTTTTCATGTAAATTTGTTTATGCTTCGAGAAAAAAACACTGGGATTTTTTTAAACTTTACATACTCCGGATTTCATACTCCGGATTTTTTTGTGTTCAAGCCCTTAAAAGTCCTTTTTACAGACTGACACAGTGAGCTCCCAATTACACCGGGAGCCGGGGGAGACTCAACCCATCGTGTTCAAAGTGAGCTCAAAACTCGACTGTGACATGTGGCCAAAACCCGAGAGCCCCGCGTTGTGTGTTTTATGCTCTGGATTGCAGCATAATGAAGATATGAATCAAACCGGGCCTCGAGTCCCGCGTTAATGAACGCGCGGCGAGCCCACTTTTCTGGCGTGAACAAAAGGTTCGCCAGGGCTGGCTAAGTGCTTTGCTATACGCGATGCATTGCAACTCAGTCGATCCCCCCCTTCAGGTCACTTGCACGCATCGGACATGGCATCGGTTAGGTCCGCCCCTCCTTAATAATTAAAATCCATGCGTAAGAAGGCTCTCGTCGTGAACGCGTTTGGGCCGAACGTTTTGCCGACGTCAACGTTTACACGACTGCCTAACCGACCACGGGGCCTTTTCAGAACCCTGTCTTGACTAGGTTTTATTTTTATTTTTAAGAAAGGGAAATCCTGGACTATGCTGAATTTTCAAATCGCTCAAACCTTGCAACACGTACGTGACCCGAGGTTTGAATTTTAAATTATTCTATCAAATACTTCACATTCAAACCGCGGGTTAAATGTTATAAAATTAAAACAATTCTGCATTTTATTTCTAGATATGGGATCAGAATGACAAAGAGATTTTCTTCGAGTTGTAGATGATTCGCCCAAGGGTTTGGTTTTGTTTGAGCTTGGAAAATTCACTTGTGATCATGCTGCAATTTCAGGGACGCCTTTCAGACATTCCAACAAGTGAGATCAAGTCTTGATTGAAGAATATAAAGCCCGAAAGAAAGAAATTCTGACATAATTCAAACCTTTCGAAATAGAAAACACATTTTTTTTTACTCACAAGTAGAGGCAAAGAAGTAAAGCTTGTCACGGACGCGTTCGACCACAATAAGAAAGCTATAGAATTTTAAATTCAATTCGATAATTCATAACATCATAGATCATGTTGCTGATCCCAAGTGACACCTGTCAGGAATTCTAAAGAGCAGTCAAAAACTGTTACCCAACTTCCGTAAATGATTTGATTTCCCGAACCAGGTTGCTCTTGCGTTCGATCGTTCTCTCTACAGTAGGAAATTCAGTAAAGAAATATAAGAAGCTCAGATTTTATTCGTAGATATCTGCAGCGTAATCTTATCGAAGTAATTTTTCCGTTTCTCGTAAATGACAAGAAAATGGCCAAGAAGTCGATTTTTTTCCGGGTACCTGTTGCGTAACAATCCGCCTCGCCACAATGATAATTTACGAAGAAAAGGAGGATTGTTGAGAATGCAATGCAATGCATTGAACCCGGGCATGTGTAGATTCTCAATCATCCCGACATACAGTATTAACTTCCGGACACTCAAGAAAGTCAATAACTTCGCGACATCCGAAAATTATACGAGTTCCGAACGCTATTTGTTCAAAAATGTGAAATCAGTAAGATTTCTCTCTACGATGAAATTCATTCGTTGTAGAGATAATTTCGCTGTAGAAAACCTCTTCAATCTGGGTGAGGGAACCCTATTATGGGACCACACAAAAAAAATCGTTGTACAGAAAAAATCGTTTTTGGGAGTCCACCACTATTTCCTCACTCAACTGATGCACTTCGCGTCGTAGAAACAGTCAAATTATTCAAGTCAATTACCTTCGCGATTGAACATAATATTACGACGTCGGGGGCATCATCAAACGCTTCCATGACCATAAATCAGAAGATGCGGTCGCATATTTCCTCATAATTTTATTCGCTTCCAGAAAATCGTTAACTTTTTTTCTTGGGACTGTCTTTTGTAAGACGCGGGTCAGTTGCACGAGTCTGCTTTGTACACGTGCTTCGTCCGATTGATGCGTATCTCCGCAACCTTTTTTTTTCTCCCCTGTCGAGTGTCCGAACTGTTTGCTCGTCAGTGTCGACGCCGACCTCGTCGGCTTTGCATTAACATTGTCTGGCCCTGCATCGCGATCATGACCCGGAGCCCCCTGACGGAGGATGGATGAAAATATTAAAGCCCGGCACGATTGAATTATCCAGAAGTCATGCGAAGTATATGAAAAGGTCGATGCAACGGGTTGAATTATGTTAATTTTTGGGGTTTCGGATTCATCGCGTGAGCAGCATAAATAACGCGAGATCGGAAAGTATAAAAAATAAGTTCAGACTAAACGGGGGATTTTATCGCCCTGATTTTTTACGGTCCGATTTCCAAGAGCGCAGATTTCCTGGAAGCATTTTTACAGTACTCTACAAAATATATAACAAGATATTCAGGGCAATGATTTCTGGACACACTCTCGTGCTGCATATACAAATTCTGCATCACTTGAAACCCCGACGCTTTTAAGACGAATTATGAAAAAAATAATAATAATCCACACTCCCCAGACCATGATCAGATCGAGTAAAGGTTAGACTTTTTTTAAAATTCCAATTCGCATCTCATAATTACACGAGCTATACCTGGATAAATGACTGATGCAACGTGATGAAAATTCGAAAATGCCAGCGAATTGAGAATTTGCATGAGTAAAATATTTTAATTATTCAAAAAAACCCTCCTCGAGTCTTGTCCCCTATAGCTATGATTTTTATTATACGGAATATTATCGGTTAATACTGACAGAAACATCTTCATCATTAAAATTGTATCATGAATCTTCTCAACATTAAATCTCAATTTAACGATCAGAAATTCTCAAGTTTTTCGACTCGTTTATCCCCTGTTAACATACTTGGATGCATTGAAGCACATTTTGCTTATATTTTTGGTTTTGCTTAAAAATCATTTGGCTAGTTAAAAGGTGTTCATTACACAGTACTGTACCGGGAAACCAAGTAATAATATGGGCTTCGCACTTTCTTCATTAAAATCCCGTTTTCTTCATTAAAATCCCGAGATCCAGTTTTACGCCACCACGCCGAATAAAAGATTTTATGTAATTTTTTCCCTCCCAAGTTATTATTTTGGCGGCGTGATACGTGGAACTGTATTAGAAATTTTCTGAAGTTTAGTTAAAGCATCGTGGATTACATTTAATTTTGTTATAAACAATGTAGTAAATCCTACTCTTATTGTCACTAAATTATAAAATCATATTCGATTTTCGAGACTGAAAGAATTTTCCCTAAAAATATGTTACAAGCCTGTTCAATGGTACGTTATATATTTCTTTTTTTAAAATCTATCCTACTTCATCCAACAGGAACATGGCGAAGGTTTCAAATCCGTCTTGTTTTTGACCATGCGAATGCTTTCGATTTGTTGCAGGAGCGACACCTGGTAAAGTGAAAAAGTGAATAAAGAGAAACAATGTCTAGCAAAGAGGCGGCGGGTCGCGGGTCGCGCGCCAGCCCAGCGCCTCGGAGCGGCACCCAATCCGCCAGCTACATCTCGAGCACGGCGGGCTCGAAAGTGCCGGTGCGGTCCACGACGTCCGCCGGAGCGGCCACCACTACGGCCAAGGCGCCCGAGCCCGACAATAACGGCAGCAGTGGCGGCGGCGGCGCCAGCAGCAGCAGCAGCAGCGAGGAAGCCGTGAGCCTGTCGCGCATTCTCAGCAAACCCGTGCGGGAACCGAGTTTCTTCCTCGGAGTGGGCACGTCAACGGGCAGCGGCAGTGGGCGACTGTCGGACGGTGCAGTGCCGCCTTCGACCGCCAATGCGGGAGACAATGCCAATGGACATGGCGGGGTGTTGCCGCCGCCCGGGGTGCCGGACGACTACTTGTACTTCAAGAATGTCGTGCCGCAGTTGAAACGGGACCTGAAAGAGCGCGACATTCGGATCGCTGGGCTGGAGCTCGAATGCAACGAGCTCAAGCGACATCTCAAGAGGCAGGATGTGGAGAAGATGAGTCTGGCACGTGAAGTTCACAAACTGAAGGTTAGTTCCGCCCTTAGTTTTTCCAAACTTCTTTTAAAGACGCCGTTGTTCAGTGCAACCACGTACCCGTCCATGGCCCCTTCTTAGTGCACTGGAACCTCTCTTTGTCCAACTTCATGGGACTATAGCAAAAAAAAAAAATTGAGTCAAGGAAACGTGCAGTTTTGCTGCGGAAAAAGAAGCAGTGTTCAAAAACTTGTGATTCCGGTTATCCTGGGCTTTAAATTGCTTCTCAAATGAGTTGGCAGGGTGCGGAACTTGAAGACGGGAGCTCATTTACCCGATTAGTCTTGAACTTCCTTTCAAAACGCATCAAGTTACATTTTACTGCTCTTCTCTTTCCATGTCAACAAAAATGTTAGCCAGAATAAGGCCTGCATAAAATTTCAGCTATTGAGGTTTGTAAGGAAAAGCCTTTGCTTTTGTCATATTGTTTCTCAATACGGATCTGCATAATGGTGATAAAATATGCTTTTGTGGGAATTCCGCAAGATTAAAATATTATACCTGATTTGCAGGCACAGTACTGTATTAAAAGATACAGGTACGACGGGAATTCTTCGTGTAGTCGAGCGTCATCTACATCACTTCATGAGAACGTTTCGCGTGAGGTTTATCCTCTTCACGGACGCGGGCCAGTAATGGGGTTTTCGAATGATTTTTTGAAGGAAAAAAAGACGAAGTGCTATTGGGAATTGTCACATGGGAAATTTCCCAACGAGCATTAAAATCCTTTTTTTTAGCAGACACGTTTCCTTTTTAAAAGCTTGACTGACGGAATGCCTGGTGGCAAAAAAAAAATCTGTCTCCTGACAAATATGTTTACCCAGGTGTTGAACGATCGGCGTTCTTTGTGCTGTCCTCATCGTGACCTGGTTTAATTCAGACGTATCCGCGAAATGCCACTTCCATTTTTTGAAAAAACAAAAAAAACTGAAGGACGGCGGCTTGGGAAATTACGGAGCAAATTTTTTCAACGTTTGATTCGACGAATTGGGAGCCCAATCCCATGTTGAGCTTTTCTCCCGAAATTACTGACGGTCGCTTGCCTCTGCCTCGGAGATTTAAAGCTTTAGGAATTTTGCGTATCGGGATCGGGCATTTGTACGCGTTCCAAGAGAGTAAATGCCAAAAACTGTCACGATACAAAGTTACATTCATGATGTAAAAGGGCTCGACAGTATCAGGATATGATGCAGTTTTTCGAGTTAAATACTTACGGACGAGAATAGTCACATGATCAAATCACCGGTGAGTGATTTGTTCACTTTTTTTAAATATAATCTTGGGCTCTTTTGCTTTAATATTATTGGAAAATTACCCCTCTTGAAAAGTTTTTATTCCCCTTCGAATTTTGTGGACACGCGTGTTTTCAAAACGCGTCGTTTACCCAGTCCCCAACTTCCTTTCTCATTATTCATGTAGGCGTTGCATGCATTTATTTGCGTTTCCCCAAATATGTCTTTGATGAAAACATTAGGTTCTGTACTATTAGTTTGACCAGGTATGCAAATTACAGTACTGGTTCCTTCAAGGCTATTATTTCTGATTTATTACTAATTTTCTTTTTTAATAACTCTGGCAAAAAAAGTCTATTCCAGCAAGCTTGCTTTCAGATCCGAGTTAAAAGCGAAAAAAATATTTTCCAATTTTTTACTGTGCTTGCGTTTGAAATTATTTTTATCAATTATTTTTATACCCGTCAGTCGTGGAAGAGAAGCGTGCGGTCATTGACCAAATTTCTTTAGTTGTCTTTGTCATTATGAAGTTGAGCAAATTTATGAAAATTTTGCTTAACGTGCGTTCGGTTTTGATAATATTCAGACGTATCCACGAAAATCCACTTCCGTTTTTGAAAAACAGTAGGACTTCGGTTCGGGAAATTACGGTGCAATTTTTTCAACGTTTGATATATTGGTTGTGTCGGATAACTTCACGTTGGAGCATTTCACGTTAGTTTTTGCAAAACCATGTCTGGTTTATTCTTGATTAGCTGAAGTAATCCCTATTACTGTATTACGATTAAGTAAGCCACTTAATTGTAGCCGATACTCTTGTGGATATGTAGATTTTAATAGTGGAAAAAACGAGGAGAGTTTCGGCTTTCAGTACGCTCATATACAATTTTAGAGATGGTCCTGAAATAGAACGGATTACATTTGTGTTTTCCTCTCGGGGATGTTTTAAATGGATTTCTAACGGAAAATCGAGTTTGACGGAGAAACTCGGGGCGAATGGTTTTATTCATACGAAGCAGGAGAAGGAAGTGGCCATGTGCTGGTATGTTGAACCTGAAGGGTTTTGTGCGGCATTCCCGTTTCCAGGCCGAATGTTTACAGACGTTATTTGACGGTTTCCATTCTCCGGATGATCGTGATGACAAGTTTCCATCAACTAATGCGGGCCACGCGCTTCTAGAACGTGCGTCTGGCTCTGGAAAGAATTTCCTTTTTCTTTGGTTGTGATCCATGTATAGAGAGCCTGCCGTCTATTTTCTGTGAGCAACGTCAGTGAAATTTTCCTTGCGCTATGAACTAACTCAATTTCGACCCTTGGGAAACCTTATGCTTATGCTGTACGTTTATTTGTGCGTTTAAAAAAATGTTCGCGCTTCCCCGTGGTGATAGAATAAACGTGTTTCTGCCAGGAAAAGTTCTCTTCCGTCGAAGACTCGTCTCACTTTTTGTATATATCCCTTGATCTTAGTACCAGCACCATGCAAAATCATCGATTTCCTGTTTTGCCATTTGATGCGAAATGTTTCGTAGAGGAATGCTTGGTAGTTGTCCGAGTTATGAAAGTATTTGGCGAAGATTTTTCGATTGAAACTCGAGCTTATTAATCATGCGCCAGTGGAAAATCGTGAATAAACTAACCTATTAAAATTTCAGAACATTTTATGTAGGATGAAAAATGTTTGTGTCGTATGATGCGGCATATAATTATCATTAAAAATGTTTAACAGTTTTATTTTCCAAGAAATTAGAACACTTTATTGAAGTATTAAGGGTTTCTAGAAACCCCTTCAGAGAGCAACTAGTATACATAAAACTGAAGTACCACACTTCTGTCATCAAATATCTTTTATATTATCAATATAACGAGGACGGAATTTTTGCCGTGAATTTTAAAAAAAGGCGTGTTCGCACCGATTTTTTTCTTTTACCAGAAGAACGCCAAACACTCGTACACTTTCGCATATTTCGTGAATGAATTCAAAGCGACGATTTTCATTTATGTATGTGAAATGGGGGCCCAACAGATTGGGCCCACGCCTTCTGATCTTCTGAAGTCGTGCCGAAACATTTTATAAATGATGAAAAATTGGCATTGATCATCAAGTTCGTGGTCATTGTAATGGCTTCGCGAAGGAACCTCACTATCTTGTTCGTGTAATGGAGTGGACGAGGAATTCAAGGCAAATATATTACCGTAGAATACATCTGCTGTATTGCTAATAATTCGACAAATTGTAAGAAAAAAAATCCAGGTTAAGTCTTTCGAGTTTTTCGAGAACGCGTGTTCCTTGTATTTTATGCTAGGATTCTCGAGCAGCGGAGTCGTGTGTTGGCGAGCAGCTCGCGGGTTACTTGCGACTGGACTCATCTGGAAATTGCGTGGAACCAGTACTGCATGAAACCATTATCCCAAATTTATCGCGTTTATTTTTTTTTTCGCGACTTGAGGAGACGAATGGTTTTGATGGCGGAATGGACTCGGGGGGGTTTATGGATGATAAGAAAGGACGGCGCTGTTTCACGATGTTTCGATGCAAACGCGCGGCACTGGGTTGAAAGGGGCCCGAGGCGATCATCAGTCAGCTTCCTCTGTGACGTCAGGCACAAGGAACTCTGATGCGAGGAAAAAAAAAAAGGTGACAGTAATTTCTGTTTCTGAATGCAATCACCCCTCGGGGGGTGTGAATGTGTTTGTTTTTTTTTTTTGCCTTTTGCAACGGATGACGAGGTCGGCTTGCTCTGGTTTCCAGCTGACTGACTTGCAGTTGCACGGGAAAATAGTCAGTTATTCATCGCTCGATTTCAGCGAGTGGCTGAAGGACGTGAAAATGAGGTTAAGTGGAGAGGAAAGCAGACTGGCGTATCGCATCTGACAAGACTTTCCGTGTGATAACCTCTTTTTCAGATGACGAGTCAGACGCTGGAAATACATGCGCCTTGCTTGTCAGCTATTGTACTTTATTCTCTGGTCTGCCGTCACGAGTATCACGACCTTCATACGTAGTTGCATGTAAATCTTCATTACATTTCATTTGTATTACGTAAATTTTTATACTGTACCACTATTCCCCAACCCGTGGTCCGCGGACCGGGTTTGCAGGTCCACAGGAGATTTTTTTCAACATGATAAGTTTATCAAAAGTAACGATGCAATTTGTTTTCTTAATCTGGAATTTCAGAAAGACAATGAAAGTTGAAATTATTTGATGAAAATGAAAGTTGGCTCTTCTCAATAACACTTCAGACGCATATTTTCACCAGCTGCAATAAATTACTGTAATATAATTTGTTTGTTCCAGTAAAGAAACCTTTCTTCAAGTCCACCTTTCTAATTTTTTGAAGACATTCCACTATAGTTACTTCATTGGTTCCTAACTTAATTTTTGCAAAAAAAAACAGAAACTTCTTGAATAACTTCCATGAAGTATTTGAACAAAATGTTTGTGAGTCTGCGAACATTTTATGAAACTTTGCCGGTACGCAGAAAATGTTTAGGAAATTCGCCAGTCCAAAAAGGTTGGGAACACTGCCCTATAGTGATTTTACTACAAAAGAAGCATAATTCAAAATACTCCGTGCTGTTGTTGAAAGGGACTCTAAATTCCATTAAATCTGATGTTCGTATTTTCGAAGTGCTGATTGCTTAACCATTCACGAAGGATACGGGGCTGTTGAAACTTTTTATTTTAGTTTGCTTTTGCCACCCTCTACTTAAGGCTGCTAGATGCTCTCGATTCCTATGTATGGAAGGAATCTGTGAAGAACTTTTCTACGAACCCGAGTGTTCATATTATGTTTTGACGAGCCGAGAGCCGCTGCTTTGTTTTCTTCCGGCGCGAGGAAGAAATT